TAATCAGTCATAAATAAAATGAATTTAGTTTTACCTGGGGCCGATGGTAGAGGGCCGACGATATCCATTCCCCATTTCATGAATGGCCATGGGGAAATGACTGAATGAAGCTGCTCTCCGGGTTGATCGATCAATGGTGCAAACCTTTGACATTTATCACATTTTCGAACAAACTCCTTAGTGTCCTTTTCCATGCTATTCCAGTAGTATCCTGCTCTGATGAACTTGCGAATTATTGGTTCGGCGCCAGAGTGGTTTCCACAAGTGCCCTCATGGACCTCTCGTAAAACATAATCGGTGTCACCTGGCCCCAAGCATACTGCCAGTGGTCCATCGAACATCCTTCTGTATAATGTTCCATCTTCAACCAACGTGAATCGAGCAGCCTTGGTTCGTAGAACCCTCGATTCTTTAGGGTTCGATGGGAGTTTTCCGTTCTTTAAGTATTCAATATACTTATTCCTCCAATCCTAGGTTAAGCTCGTGGAATTCATCTCTACATGTCCCTCCTCGATTATAGATCTCGAGAGTTGAATGACAGTCCCCGAGTCGATCTTATCTTCCTCGACCGATGATCCCAAATTTGTGAGTGCGTCGGCCTCACTGTTCTGCTCTCGAGGCACATGTTGTAGGGTCCATTCTTTGAAACGGTGCAGAGTTACCTGTAATTTGTCCAAATACCTTTGTATCCTATCTTCTCGAACCTCGAAAGTTTTATTTACTTGGTTCACCACTAGTAAAGAGTCATTTTTAGCTTCAATGACTTCTGCTCCCAAGCTTTTAGCTAGCTCGAGACCTGCAATCATGGCCTCCTCTCTTAATTGTCCGCAATCCTCGGTCCTGTGGCCATGCGTATCATGATTATTGCACATCGAATTCGGGTTCCTTTGGGAAGGGTCGGTTTGCATGGGTCTGGGCCACCTAGTATCTTTGATTCTTCCGATCGCCAATACAATGACCGATGCATCGACGCTGAAATTGTACTCTGATAGCCGAGGTGCCTCTACATGATCGACATATTTGTCAAAGCCACTCTTGCTCATAAGTCCTCGAGAATTTTGTCCTCGATCACTCCTTTGATTGTTCCGGGCGATATTGCGTGTCGAACCATTGTTCGTTCGATCTGCAACGTATGGTTGATATCGGTCTCTATTCGAACTCTATTCTCTGTCGATATCCCTCTGGTTTTTAATAGCCGATCTGTTCCGATGCATGGATCCGGAAAGAGATCCTAATTGGTCGTCTTCGACCCTGATTTTTGACTGGTATCGATTATGTACATCTGCCCAAGTTATTACCGAATACTCAATCAAATTTTGCTTCAGCCGACGTGACGCTATTGAACTTTACTCGTTCAACCCTTGGGTGAAAGCTTGGACGGCCCATTCGTCTGTGACCGGTGGCAATTCCTTACGTTCCATCTGAAATCGGCACACGAATTCCCTCAGCATTTCATTATCCATTTGTTTTACTTTGAAAATGTCTGATTTCCTCGTTGCAACCTTTATGGAACCGGCGTGTGTCCTTACAAACGAATCCGCTAACATGAAAAATGAATCGATGGAATTTGGTGGCAGGTTATGATACTAAATCATCCCCCCCTTCGAGAGGGTCTCTCCGAATGTTTTCAACAACACAGACTCGATTTCATTGTCTTCCAAATCGTTACCCTTGATGGCACACGTATGAGAGGTAACGCGTTCGTTAGGATCGGTCGTACCATTATATTTGGGGATTTCGGGCATACAGAATATTTTGGGGATTGTTTTTGGGGCTGCACTCGAAGGAAAAGGCTTTTGTACAAATTTCTTGGAATCCAACCCTTTTATCGTGGGCGGAGCTCCTGGGATTTGATCGACCCTGGAATTACATGTTTCTACTTTCTTATCGTTGGCCTCGATTCGCTTTGTGAGCTCCTCAAGTATTTTAGTAATTTCGGGGGTAGTCCCTGACTCTGGTTCGTTTGACCTCACTATGACTGGCTCCGTTCGATGGGCAATTTCTCGAGGTGGACTGGGCTCCGGTCTTCTTGGTAGCTGGGTTTGGCTCTTCAATTGAGCTATCGCTACCTGCTGGGCTTGCAATATTTCAAAAATCATACGCAAGTTGACTCCTTTTTCTTCCACGTTATGGGAGTCTCGAGTTGCAGATCGAGTACTGCCATGAATGCTATTTTCTGGCTCGGAATGTTGGTTTGCCTCAAAGGCCACATGTGAGTTGACATCTAGCGGTACTTCGGCTCGAGCTTTACGTACTTTGACTCGAGCTTCAATGACATCGATAAGCGGCCTTCCGACCCTTGGCATCACGTTATTGGTTTCGTCTTGAAGGCCGACTTCGTTGTCGGTGGGTAAAGCCATTAATGGAGGATTTACCATTGCTAGTTCGAGTCAGAGACACTCTCAAAAGACGAGCGTAAACTGGTGTGTGTTGCAGATTTATATTAAACAAACACTGTTATCCTTAGCCCCACGGTGGGCGCCAAACTATTTACCCAAAAAATTGGATAGAGTTAAATTTTTGTATGGTTCTAAGGATACATGATATAACTTTGTACAAATTGTAGAGTGAAATAGAAATATATATATATTCTTGACAAATGGAATGAAATGTAAGGCAGAGAAAAAAGAAATATTGATGAACAAGGCAAAGTAAATGAGCCCAAAAGTGTTAATCTCTCTAAAGTTATTTTTGTTACAATGTGTGTCTGCCCTATGCTTACAAGAATTTCCCTCTTTATAGTAGAGGGATCCTACTTTATTTATAATAAAAAAATATATAGTGAAAAACTCATGATGAATTGTCTTTTTCTCGATTTCCACTAAGATTCTCTCCCCAAGTGCGGTTGCAACGGCTCTTATCTGTGAGCTCAATACTGGCTCGAGCTCGGTATTGGATCGAGCCCTCAGCCTCGGTTCGAGCTTGATTCTGACTTGGAGTCTCGATATTCGGGGTGAGTGTTGGTCGGTCTATGCATCTTCGATAATCTTCACTTTGCTTCATAGTTCGATTTGGATATGAGCTCGATAATGATATCGAGCTTCACTACTGGAAAATAGCAGAATTCTGACTGCTAAAACGGTTGAAAATCGATCAAAAATCACGAATTTTCGACTACTTTCCGACCAAAATTGATCGCTCGGAAAACAGTTAGTCGGAAAATAATTTCCGACCAAATCCGTCGGAACGTTCGAAAGGTCACACGACCAAATATTTTCAAATTTCCGACCAAAGTGGTCGGAATTTACCGACCGAATCAGTCGTAATAATATAAATAAAAATAATTATTTATTTAAAATTAAATAATATAAATATATAATTTCCGACCGAATCTGTCGGAAATTAATATTTAAAAAATAAATTTTATTTAATTTCCGACGGAATCCGTCGAAAACTTTTAAATATTTTTTAAAAAAAATTTCCGACCGAATCGGTCGGAAATCTGAGAATTTTTGGCAAAATATGGGCAGTTGTCCGACTGTTTCTGTCCGAAATTAGTCGGAATTTTCTGTAAAACTGGGCAGCATTCTGCCCAATTTGGAGCTACACCACCTGTCAAACTATTACAATATAATAACGCCAACAACCAATCAACCATTAACACAATCTAAACCAACAATACCAACCATTAACACAATTTAAACCAACAATACCAACCATTAACATAATTTAAACTAACAATACCAATCATTAACACAACCTAAACTAACAATACCAACCATTAAAAAAATAACAAAGGAGGGTGAGGGAAACCTACCTGGCAGTGCA